TCAACTCTTGAGCAACCTTGGGAATTTGAGTATCCTAGGAGAATGTCTTGAAGAAAAAGGGAGGAAAAATTTTGGGGTACAACACCAGGCACAAATTAATTCCTGAAATAGGATGGGGAAACTATTTGCATAACCAGTCAAAGATTTATTCTCGAAATAGGACGGGGCAACTATCGACATGACTAGGTGGTATGAATTCCCGAAACAGGACAGGTTTACCAACAAAAATAGATTGTAGATCCGTTCCCAAAGCAGGAAGGGGCGACTATCTAAATGACAAGCGTTTCCCTCAGAGACTAAATCTCACAAGTAGTTTCCTCAAAGGCTAAATCTGACAAGCAGTTCCTTCAGAGTTATCGTAGTTCAGCTAACATGTTTCGTTTGTTTTATGTTTTTTATGAACAATGTTAATTTTGCCTTCTGCCGCAGCTCGTGTAACACCCCTTATAAAATACCCTGAATAATATTAATTATATCAATGATTAAAGACATATTCCATCAGAGTTAACACGGAACAAGGGGTGTCACAATTATGAAATAAATAAAACTTCCAATAAAACAATAGTCATGCTACACTGAGGGTCATTATTCAAATAATTCAATCAAATTAAGACCATGTCTTACACAGCGGAAAAATACCATAACCAAAACGGAATAAACCAAAACATAATTATTCCCAATGAAATTCAAAGAAACAATTGAATAATAACTAATTCCTCAACTAAACGTTCCCCAGTGTTACAACCTATCAGAGCACGACACTGACACGCAGACTTAAAGTAACATAACTCTAGAGCCATCCTCACCAACTCCTGAGCTGCTAACTTTAATCTGAAATTGTTAAAGTAAGGGTGAGATTTCTCATAATTAACATGCATTATAAGCTTCTCAATCAACATTATATCCCAAGCATATTATTTCACCCATTTTAGCATAAATTCAGGTTCAACACGCAGTTCCAATCATACAAGTCATTATGCACAAATCAATAATCAACCAAAGAATTGTAACACTGGAAGACATCCTAACATGTTACAATTCCATGCAAACACAAATGCAGACACAATGCATGTGGTACCAACACGTGACCAAGTCACCCAACACTGATCCATCATCAACCAGATACAACAACCATCGATTCGTCCATAAACACCCGGACACGAATCCAGCCTAACCACCCATCATCACCCGGGTATCGGTTAACGGCAATACAAGTCAAATTCCACACAATGGGAATTAACTTCACCAAAACAATGCATATGCACGCACATCACTAGTATGCAACATCAAATCAGTCTATGAAATACATCAATTTATCATAACTGAACCAAAACCAAAAACATGATATCTCAATGATCATGCACACCATCATTAGCAACATAAACATGCCTTTAATTCACACAATACTAATACATCCATCCATCACAGGTTCACTGCTACATACACACCCATGTGCGTTAGCCAATAATCACTTATTCCGGGATTTGACTCATTTTCAAAATAATTTCAGGTTTTAGGAAATCTTTTCATTTTATAAAATAGATCATTAAATTTAAGAAATAACGTCCAAAACGGCACTCAAAACGGACTTACGGTTTGAAAGTTATGAATTTTCAAAGTTTAATATTTTTCAAAAGTTACAGCAGAACCCGATTCCTACATATGCAGGAACCGGTTCCTGCGAAGTTCAAAAATCACGCTTCTGGAAAAATACATGGGAATCCGGTTCCTACCTATACAGGAACCGGTTCCTACGTGTATTTTTGCCAGTTTTTATAAATTCACACAGTGGAACCCGATTCCTCCCCACTGGGAACCGGTTCCCACGACCTGCAGAGTCAAATTCTGCACTTTTGACAGCATTTATTCATTCTAAACCAATTCCAAATATACCCATACGAATTGCAACATGAGAAACACCAAAAAACATCCATTTTGCATCATTATAACATCAAACAACATTATTTCATCATTCCTTTTTATCATCTGACACCCTAATGGTTTTCAACCTACAATTCGACGCAATAGGGACAATTCTACGGAACCCTAGAATTCCAAACCGGGATTCCCTAACATACTATGATCCATACTATTGAATATCTAAACCGATAATACGAATTAACTAATCGAAATCACCCCTTACCTTGTGGGTTCTTCGAATTCTGACGCTTTCGGTTTTCTCCTTCTTTTTCCTCTTCTCAAATGCACGTATGATGAATATTCCAAAATAACTCTCTTTCTCTCCTTTTTCCTTTTAATACTCCTTTTATTATTCCAATAAAATAATTAAATTAGTAATTAGTAAGAGTAGAGTATTTTACCCCTCACACCCTCTAATCACTCTTCACACCACCAATACTTCTTTCCTTTAATTAATTAAATTAATTCCAATAATCCAAAAATACCAATAATTAAATTTCCAATTAAATTAATAATTAAAAATTCTAATTATTTAATAATCGGATTATTTGGGGTGTCACAGCTCGACCTTTGGAGACTTGTACATTGGCACAAAAGTAAATTAACATGTCCTTACCTGAAAATGGTTTTGAATTACGCCCTCAAGGCAAGATACCGTGTTTGATTGGTTTGTGTTTTGTTACCTTGAAAATGGTTTAAGTGTGATTAGCATGTTTTATGATTTGCTAAGAAGAGGGAAGTTTTAGTTTTAAATGCAAGGAACAAAAAGGGGAAGAAATGAGTCTACGGGGGACTAGCCTATTTCTAATCCTAGTGTTATCATACAATGGTGGTCCTAAGGTTTGGATTAACAAAAGGGAAGCGTCTACCTAATGTTAGCATATATGATTTGCAACCTAAGGTATAACTTGCATCCAAAAGGAACAAGCACGTCCTAAGGGAACATGGCATGTACAAGGATAAAACATGCAAACTCGAAGGAGCACACACATAAAATGGTAAGGAAAAGAAGAAAAATACTTTAGCCAAGGGGAGCGTATCACCCGAGACAAACAAGCAGGAATAGGATGTAAAACAAAAATATGATGTCCAAAGCGACTGACACCTAACCAATATATAGAAGATCGAGGTAGAAAACAGATGGCAATATTAACAATCATAGAGTGTCAGCATCGGCCAATGCGAACTTCTGACAAAGCATGGGGGTTTGATTGCGAAACCCTTTCCCAGTTAACGACTCGATAACAAGAGCAGGCACAACTCTGAAGCATCATGGTGCGTCACGAGCTAAGGATGACACATACGAAGTTGCAGCGGTTGATTGTGAACCCTCCCCGCTTGCTTCTTTTTGAAGACTTATCATCTGTAACATATGCGGGCACAAATATAAACACATGTGCAAAATACCTACTTTAAAGATAGGATTTTAAACAAACACATACAACATACAGAAAGCATACAATGCGGAATTTACCTAAACGGGTCTTTAACTAAACCAGAGGGATTCCTAACATGATCAACAACGAAGATCCCCTTCATACATCTCTACCCTACTTCTCAAGGCATCGGAAAGCAGTAAAGAAATACGAGCAAGTGCGGAAATGAGGAATAAAATGAAGTTGCGATGATACCTAACGGAGAAGGTCTGTTGCCTCTCCGAAACCATGCAAGCAAAGAGAAAACTCTACATAAGCTATTTCACAAGTGATCACCCGAGTTAATCTCAAGCATTCCTCAACACCAAAGTTGCATCAACATTCTATCACAAAATCTTAACTAATGGAGAAGGTTTGTTGCCTCTTCAACGTGTGCAAAAGCTTGAGCAAGACTGTCAGAAGCTCCACCCGTAATCAACCAAAATAGAACTCAAGCACCTCATATCACAAAAAATCGCATCAACATCCTCTCACAAAATCATGGCAAGAAAGTGTCAACAACTAATTACTAAATGATTAACAAATAATTATCAAACCATAATAATAAGAGAAATGAATTATAAAGAATTTCTAAACCAAATCCTAAAGAAAATCATTAATATATTTTATGTGCCTTTTTATCATGTGAAACAATTACTACCAAAAGAAAAAATTGGTAAAAACCATTAGTAAAAAGTAAACAAAACATTGATACACATGGAGGTGCGAAGCCTGGTTCAAGTGTGCTGCCAAAAAAATGCAAGGCCCATGTAGTTTTTTGTTTGCAAAGCAATAGACTCCAAAAGTCGTGTTAACAGGCTTAGTGAAGGGTGTAGTGTCATTCAGCCCAGCAAATTCAGTCCAAGTCCAATTCAACATCATGATACTAATCCTATTCACCATATTTGTTTTACTTAATTGATTCATTAAAATAAAAATATAAAGTGAAAATTAAAGTGAAAAAAGAAAAAGAAGGATACGGTGTCGTATTGATGTGCATAGGATTAGAAGTACGACTATTGAACTCCTCTTGAAATCCATATCTCTTTCGCTCTCACTTGCAACTGCGACGCTACTCTCTCAACACGCGGTGGAGTTCTGCCGCCAGAACTGGTCAGGAGTCAACGAACTCGCTACCGTGCGAGACCTTTCAAGCTTTTTTTGAATCCTTGCTCCATTTTATCAGTTTCATCACATAAGCCATAGATATATGATTCTTTGAAACCCTAAAACTCTTGAACAGGGACCAGACGACAATGACGCATACATCACAATTCGAATCTATGTCGCGGTGCCAAGGAAGTGTCGAAGAAACACTTACATTTGCGATCGAAGTGACTGGAAACTCCTGGAGAAAGCTCGTATTCATGTAAGTATTCTCCTTTGCTCTCTATTTTCTATGCGTGCTATTGATTCTCTTCTTATTCTTCTACGCCACTTTTCCAAGTTTCTTGTGGCAGATTTGAAATTGTTTGTTGAAGGTTGATGATGCCGAAGGTTTGTCATGCTTTTGCGCTCTCGTGCGTGTCAGTGTTGTGAACTATTGTTGCTAGTTGATGCAGAGAGAATGGTGGAGCTTGCAGAATCGCTGATGAGGAAGATTGACTGTTGAAGATTCGTTGCAGCAAGATGATGATTACAGATTCGTGGTTGTCCCAATGAAAGCTACGGATTTAGAAGTTGAAGTAGAGTGGAGGTTTTCTGAGTTGCAGAGAGAAGGGGAGCAGAGAAAGTTTGTTTATTGAGGAATCGAGAAGAGAGTGATGAAGGATGATGGGAGAACAAACAGAGAGACGAGAGAGTGCATGGAGATTTTTCAGAGACAGTGAGGAGAAGATTGAAGGTGCCTATGGTGATTCTTCCAGAAGGTGAAGAATGAAGAACTTCAAGGTCAGTTTCTGTGAAAGAGTTTTTCTGTTATATGATTTTTTTCCTAAAAAACGTGAATGAAATCCCGCCTCTCTCTTTTTGTTTTTTGTTATCCTTCTACTGGGAGTTTTATTAGAGAGTTGATTAGAGGATAGTTTGAGAGTTAGTTATAGATCGGTTAGCTTTTCTGTTAGAAGTTGGTTAGAGGTTTGAGATTATGTTTTCTGTTATAGGTGGTTATGGTTAGAGCTGTTAGTTTCTGTTAGCAGTTTGGAAGTTGGAATTCGGTTGATTGTTTTTATGAACTGAATTGTTTTCTTGGTTTGATATTTCAGACATCCCAACAAGGAAATCAATATTTCTGAGCATAAGGAGATCGACATCAATGAAAATGATGTTGGAATTCGGTTGATTGTTTTTATGAACTGAATTGTTTTCTTGGTTTGATATTTCAGACATCCCAACAAGGAAATCAATATTTCTGAGCATAAGGAGATCGACATCAATGAAAATGATTTTGTCGTAATCAGTTAACTGCTAGAAGCGGAATTAGCTGTAGTTCCACTCATTATATACCTCTGGTTCTGCTTTTAGATTCCTGATTCTTTTAATAGTGTGAACCTTCCATCCAACTTGTTATGGACCCCACCCATGTGATAATTAGTGATTGTTTCATCAATCAAGACTTACAAGAACACGTGTTAAACTAGACACTCGAATACTTTGCGCTGCAGTAATAGCTCCACAACCATACATATGCACAGAGTGCGGGATTTGTTGCATAAGCTTCTTGGTATGCCCTTTTGGAATGAGGATTCTCTTTAGCCTTGAATGGAACTGATAGCTCACATGAATCAATTAATAACCGCAACTTCTCTCTGAGTTTATGCAGGCTGGGTTCATAAATCCAGACATTCCCTTCACATTTTGTAATATCCTTGCAAGTGAAGAGATTTGGAGTCGAGAAACAATCAATCACAAAAAGCATCCAAACACGACGACCCCCTTTGGAATTAGCAATAATTTTTGGCGTGAAAAGTGGGACAAGGCTAGGTCATGGAATAAAGAGAGATTGGTTTTACATAGGTTTAGGAAAGGTCAACAAGTGGTGTATTGACTTTGGTCACAACTTGTAATATTTTTGTATGATTTTCTTTGCGGTAATGATGTAAATGGAAATTATTTTGAATACTATCTTGTAATAAAAATGACTTGTAATGAAATGATTTTTTCCTCGAATAAGATTTGAAATTCCTTTCCCTCCGAATTATACTTGAAATTATGTTTTCCATTTCAAATTTGCAAGCTTGGGTAAGAACCATGTGATGGTAAGATAAAGCCCAAAAAGTTATAAGGACTTTAATTAAAACCTTTAAACTTTGATGTGATATTCTAATTCTCCCATGTCTCTTCAAACTCTTGCATAAGGTTCAAAGTACTGATTTGTAGTCCAATTAGTCAAGTGAACCATACTTCGACGGATGACAAAACAAAATGAAACCCCGATGTTGAAGTGTGTCACACGATAGCCTCAAAGAAACCTAATTGCACCGATTCATGCTTAGAAAATAAGCCTCTATCCAATGAACCTCTTGACCACCACCACATGAATAGGGAAACAAATTCTAAACTCCAAAGATAAGTGCTAACACACTGAAGAAACGTCTCACTTCATAAGCTCCAAGAATTTTCTATCTGAATTCAAAGCCCTTTGAAAGAAGTCTAGTTAAACGTCTTGCATCGTAAGTAACAATGAAGCCACCCCTCACATGATGAACAAGCCCAAGTGTTGAGAACACCCATGATGATTATAAGACCAAACCCAAGATTTATCTGATAATTACAAGCATAAGGAAGCAAACCCTTAATCCATGATTGATGAGAACCTCAGTTGAAACCAAACTACATAGGGTAGAAACCCTTATCTCAAAAAGCATTGATCTCATGTTAAGCTTATTGATTAATGATTCATGATGTGTTAGATGATCTAATGGAGGGTAATACATACAAATTAGAATGAAATACATAAGCCGTATAAAAGTGGAAGGGTAGGACAAATTTGGGGTATTACACCTAGCTGCAGATAGCAAGGAACTCTCAGATCTCGTACGACCCATTCCAGACAGAGACTTCGAGATCATCCCCCTCGGAAACGATCCCACCAGAGGAGTAAATATCAGAGCTGATCTCCCTGACTTGGAGAAGGGGCAACTTAAAGCTTGCTTGAGGGAGAATACTGATGTATTCGCCTGGAGCGCAACTGAGATGCCCAAATTGGACCTAGAGATTGCATTCCATCTGTAATACGGTGGCAGAACCGACTGTTTTTAGTTACTACTGGTTTTGCGTTTTTTGTTCGCAAATGTACGGTAAGCTAGAGTCGCCACCGACTTTTATTTAATCCAACAAAGGAAAAGGAAAAAGAACAGAAAAAATCTTTTTCGAGATATTTCTGAGTACGGGGATAGATTATAGAAAGGGAAGGTGTTAGCACCCTTTCTATCCGTGGTTTTCCACGGTGTGATCGGTGGGAATGAGAACTGACTGTTTTGGAATGCTGGTTCGCGTTTGCGTTTGTTTTCGCAAAATGTCGCGGTAAGCAAGAGTCGCCACCGTCTTTTATTTTATCCAACAAGGAAAGGACAAAAGCACAGAAAAATTCCTTTTTGAGATATTTCTCGGGTTCGAGAGGTAGATTATAGAAAGGGAAGATGTTAGCACCCTTTCTATCCGTGGTTATCTACGGGCTCTTAGGTACTTGCTCATTGTGTTTTCAAAATTTGCTTTTCTTTGTGTTTGTGGGTTTTGAAAAGAGTTTTTTGTTTGAAAGAGGTGTAAGTGCGAAAAGTTTTGTTTTGTTTTAAAAGGAGAAAGTACTTAAGAACATCTACCTACTCAAAAAGGAATTAAACTGTACAAATGTCCTTTAGACAATGTTATCCCACTATTGAGGAGTAGGTAACATCGTCGTTGGAGTTTTCGGGTCAATTCGATTAAGGGACGTGTAGTCACTAAAGCAATGTTAGGACGCCTTAGCGGTAACCCTAATGTCTTAGATCGTTTTATCCGAGGCAACCGTTCCGAGGAAACTTATGATCTTTGGACAAGAGGGCGACCTCTAAAACTTTCTATACTCAATGACCACACTCGAGGCAACCAAGTGAGGTGTACCCTAAGAGTGGCATGTGCGAGTGTATTGTTTTTCAGTTATATTATCTTTGTACATGTTAATGGTGAGCTACTGTTGATTTTAAATTAAAATTGATCTTGTCATGCATTGCCTATTATTCAAACATCTAACAGTTAATGGTTGCGGAAATTAAATTGCGGAAAATAAATCTAAGCTATTACAAGGCGTCGGGTATTTACATCGCCAAAAACAAACCCTTAAAAAATTAAATTGCGAAAAGTAAATAAAAGCGATAAGTAAATAAATAAAGTCCTAAATTAAAAACTATTACATTCCCGAAGCAGTTACAATAATGAAATATGGATCAAAAGTAATTCGCGCGCGAGAAAATTAAATCGGAGTGTCTTAGGGTTTTGACCCTTTTTTTATTAAATAAAGCATATTTTTGTTATTTTTTGAATTAAAAATTAATCTAAATTAATAATTGAATTAATTAATTAAATGAAAATATTTTTGGGTTTTATTTTGATTAAGGAAATAAAATAAGAATGATTAAAAGATAGTAAAACCTAATTCTAAATTAATTTTAATTTATTGCAAAAAGATATTAATGTTAAACCTATTTAAACTAAATAAATTAATTAATTGTTATTTACAAAAATAAATAATAAAATTAATGGAATTAATAAAAATATATTTTTTGGTTTTCTGATTTTATGAAAATAAAAGTTAATTGGTTAATTTTTTAATTAGGAATAAAAAAATAAAATAAATAAATAAAGAAAATGTTAAAGAAAAGAAATAACCAAAAGGGGGTTTTGGGCCTGAAGAGGGTGTTTGAATTGCAATCCCAGGCCCAATTTCGCTCCAGCCTGTTTGACCTTCTGGATCACCCAAATACTTGTTGACTTGGGACCATGGTGGTCCTCCATCCTGGGCCACTGGATCTAAATCTGGAACCCCCTGGCACATTGATACCTGAGGCATATGATGCTCCACACTCTAGGCGTTTGCACATGAATACCTGAAGCAAAATTATAACAAAGTTTTGGGGGACCTGGGATTCGAGCCCAGGTCCCAATGCTCACATGCCAACGCTCCAACCACTCAACCAAACTGCTTCATTTGTTAGTTAAATAGAAAACAACTATTATATATCAAACAATTTAATTATGCCTGGAAAAAATAAAAAAAGCGCGCTGATTTGAATCAGCCAGTAAGAAGAAGACACACCTTCGTCTTCTTCGTTGAAAAGGCCAGCGTTTTTACCTGCGGATTTTATCCGTAACAGAATCCATGTCTGCCATCTAAAATCACCTACAGGCTTTGGAAACGAGTTCTAAGAACACCATGGTGCTCGTCTCCTTCCCCTGATCATCCCTGTACCAATTATTTGCATTGATTTTGCCTGCAATTAAAAACCCCAAAAACAAGATGCACGAACCCTAGAACTGGGCATGGCGTTACAGGCTATGAAAATAAAATTCAGTGATGCCAAAAGTTTCAGAATGCAACGCAAAGTATGAATATGCAATTATTTCAATGAAAGGATGCAAGAAAATGATTTCACGATCTCATGTCCAGAGCAAGGTTCGTGGATACTTACAGTGAGTTTCAGGCTGTCTTAGGGCTTGGTTTTGATTGGTATAGCTCCACTGGATGTCAAGGAAGAGGGCTATGTCAAGCTTTTTGATTGAATCAGGCTCCAATGTTGTTTTTGATCTCTCACTTTTCAAGCTTTTTCACAAACTTTGTATGGCCGTTTCTGCAGTATTTTGTGCGTGTTTTTGGTCTGGCTCACTTGTGTGCATATAATGGAATGTGTTTAGGTCAGAATTTGGGCCATAATCCATATGCATTGAAGGTTTTGAGATTTGATATGATCACCATTGATAAGCTTTCCATAATTGCATCAAATCTGAGATTTTGTGCTTGTTTTGACTTGGCACGAATTTGACTGAGTGTTATATGATACTTGCAAGCTGTAATGACCACAAGAATCTTATTACATCAATTTTTAGATTTTATTTGATTTAATATTGATTAATAATGAATTAAATCAATAAAAATGAAATAAAATAGAAAAATAGATGAATGTCCATGAAATTAAAGATGGAACACGTGTGTGGCATGACAAGACTATATCAAGTGGAAAAGTGAGCCCTTTTGTCAAAAATTGGAGTCTTGAGGATAGTTTACTTTTGGCAAATTTGGAAAAATGCCCAACTTCAACAATGCATAACTTCTTCAATTTTGAACTTTTGGAGGTGTTCTTGGACTTTTTAGAAACCTTGAGATGTCCTATAATCAACCCTTTTGGTCTCATATCATTTTGATGTTCCATGCTCAAGTTATAAGCTTTGGCAAAAAAGGTGTTTTTGTTGACTTTCAAAAATGACCTATAATGTCCAAATTTGTAACTTTTTATGAGAGCATTTCTTGATCTTGGGGTGTGAAGATGGATTGTAGGAAATTGCATCCTCTTCAAAATGAACTTTGGATGGGTCATTTCTCATAAAGTATGAGAAAGTTATGCTTGGTCAAATTTGAGTTGACTTTTCCTACAAAACCCTAATTTAGCAACATTTGAATCTTGATGAATCTTGAGAAATCCTTGATGAATCATGATCAACCATTGATAAAATGATGAATTATCCTTCAAAATGAGAATGTTGACAAAAAATCTTAAGGTTTGACTGTATTTAGGACACAGTTGACTTTTGCCCTAGCACAGTCGATTTTTGGACCTCTTGAGCAATTGACTGACCAAACTTCCTCTGCAAGGCTTTAAATTTGACATGGATGAACTTAAGAACATATTAAGACATTGGGAAGCACTGGAGGCCATTTGGATATGAGGACCTTGATGCAACACAAAACCCTAATTTTGA